CCGAGGGGTCCCAGACTGCGAGAGGGCACAGGCCAGGCTGGGGGACCCCCACCCGCCCCCCGAGTGCACAAATTTTTGTGCACCGGGCCTCTAGTCTATATAATAAAAGCCTAATCAACCATTATGGCGGAACAACCAAATCGACCGGTTGTTATGATGCATAGTGACCACCAGTGGGCAGACGCTCAACACAGGAGCTGCCCCCTGGTGGTCAGTGTGCTGGGGGAGCACCGCTCAGCCAGAAGACATAAGGAGCAATGAGGAGCAGCGAGCCGAGCAGTAAGAAGCAAGGGATCCCAGATTGCGACAGGGCCTAAGCTGGCAGGCAGACATCCCCCAAGGGGTCCCAGATTGGAGAAGGTGCAGGCCGGGCTGAGGGACACCCCCCCCCATGCACAAATTTCATGCACCGAGCCTCTAGTTTTTGTATAAAGTTAGGTTGCTTCTGCTAATGCTTTTTTATTTTTAATCCTCACCCAAGGATATGTTTCTACTGATTTTAGAGAGAGAGAGGAAGAGAGAAAAGAGAGGAAAAAGGAAAAAACAAACAAAAAAATCTACGTGAGAGAAACACCGATTGGTTGCCTCCCATACACACCCTGACTGGGGATCAAACTCAAAACCTAGGTATGTTTCCATGTGCCCTGACTGGGAATCGAACACGCAATTTTTTGGTTTACGGAAGGATACTCTAATCAACTGAGCCACCCAGCAAGGGCTGCTCCTGCTATTGTTTTTTAACCATTCCCCCCAGAAGCACATGTACACACACACACACTCAACCTCCTCTGTAAGAAACCATACATAGGATACAAGCTAAATGGGATTTTAAAAAGTAACAAAAATGAATTCTCAAGAACTTTAGGGGCAAACTTCAAAAATCACCACAGTAGTGAAGTTTAATTTTACTGACTCATCATTACATGCTATTTCCTACCCTTGTGAACTTGGAGCACATTTCCTCTGCTTCTCTTATCATATTTGCTCGAAGCATATATTTTGCACATTTGGAATTTATGAATCTATCAGCCGTATCTAAAGACTGTGCTTCATCCATCCACTTTGCAGCTTCTTTGAGATTACCTATATGCTTTAAGAGATTAAAATATTACAGAAATTATAGTTTATGATTAAGAGAATATGGATACAATACAAATAACAACAGTTTAGAAAAACAAATTAGAAATTTGGTGCCATTTCTGTAAAATTTATCTAAAAATCTTTAGATAAATTAAAATTCACACTTACTAAGAGCTGAATCAAATGATTAACACTGAGTATAAAAATATGCAATCTAAAACTCTTTAGGATTATTAGAGTATTAGAAATAGATTATCAGGGTTCCATAAAAGTTATTTCTACAGAAAAATAACTCCAAGAGTTCTTAAGTGGTTATCATTACATGCTATTTCCTACCCTTGTGAACTTGGAGCACATTTCCTCTGCTTCTCTTATCATATTTGCTCGAAGCATATATTTTGCACATTTGGAATTTATGAATCTATCAGCCGTATCTAAAGACTGTGCTTCATCCATCCACTTTGCAGCTTCTTTGAGATTACCTATATGCTTTAAGAGATTAAAATATTACAGAAATTATAGTTTATGATTAAGAGAATATGGATACAATACAAATAACAACAGTTTAGAAAAACAAATTAGAAATTTGGTGCCATTTCTGTAAAATTTATCTAAAAATCTTTAGATAAATTAAAATTCACACTTACTAAGAGCTGAATCAAATGATTAACACTGAGTATAAAAATATGCAATCTAAAACTCTTTAGGATTATTAGAGTATTAGAAATAGATTATCAGGGTTCCATAAAAGTTATTTCTACAGAAAAATAACTCCAAGAGTTCTTAAGTGGTTAAAATTTTCAATTATTCAAAAAATATGTCTAGGATTTTACCTTGTTAATTTTTGCTTTCATATAGAATAATTCTATTAGAGTTGGAGTACTAGCAATTGCAGCATCAATATAATCCAGAGCCAAAGCATATTGCCCAAGTTTATCAAAGTGCTGTGCCAGGAAATACTGAACCCAGAGTAGTGTTGTTGGGGGCTCCTTCTCCCCATTTTCTGCAATCAAACAAATATAAAATTATTATAGGGAAGAAGGCAAAGTAAAGAATAAAGGATATCAGATACTTTCTCTGTCCCAAAGCATAATGAAATAAAAAAATTATTATAATAATAAACAGTAAAAAGCCAGCAAAATAACCAATTTCAATAGAAAGAGGTATGACTTCCTGCCATCAAGTTCAAAAAGTAGCAGCCAAGCAAAGAAATAAGATACTAGTTTCATAGGCTTCTAACCCCACCCTCACTCCAAAGAAAGTTCTGAAGAAAGACGGTAAATCAATCTAACTACGAATTCTCAAGGCTGGGAGCGTAAGACAGCAGACCCAGGAAAAGTCAAGGAAAATAGATAGGAGAAAAAATGTCCCTAACTACCACTGCAAGATTTCCATAAAGGCATGAACTGCCAGGGCTTAACATTGTCTAGGCTTCAACACTAAATCAGGGAAACCCAAAGTTGAGGAGTATGAAGACTAGAGGCCTGTTGCATGAAATTCGTACATGGGTAGGGTCCCTAGGCCTGGCCGGCAATCAGGGCTGATCGGGGCCTTCTGGCTGCCAGCCAGGGCCTTCCTTCATTCCGTGCCGCCCCCTGGTGGTCAGCACACATCATAGCAAGAGGTCAAATTCCCAAGGGGACACTTTGCATATTAGCCTTTTATATATATAGACTAGTGGCCGGGTGCACAAAATTCGTGCACATTAAAAGGAATTTAATTACAGGAAATATTTTAATATTGCTATTTGCCCTTTCTCTATAATAGAAGTGTCAGAGATGAAAGAAAAATAGTAAAATGTATATGAAAATCTCCCTCCTGTTAGTCTGGGGCATGCCATGGGCCCCAGAGTCAAGCCCCTGCCCCCCTGTGCGAGCCTCGAAATCGCGCGAGACCCAGACCTGGCCAGCCCCAACCCCATCAAGCCCCACAGGGCAGGGGGCACAGCCTCAGGTCCCTGGCCCCGGCGCCAGGGCAGGGGGCACGGTCTCAGGTCCCCCGGCCCCGGCACGAGGGCATGCCAACCATTTGCATATTAGCTCTTTATTATATAGGATACTTTCCTGACAAGGTAGAGTAACCCTATGTGACAATAACACTCACATACAATCAGCTGTTACCCATCCTGTATCCTCAAGCTACAATAGAGTAGATAAAGAAATAAACACCAAGCTCTCAAAATAGATTACAGAATTGGCTAAATTCTACAGGTATAAAATGAGGAAAAAAGAATGAAAAAGAGAATTTACCCATACTACATCAGAAAAACTCAGGTCATCTAGACTAGCTACCAAATAAAACAACAACATGCAAACACACAAATTACTATAAATTAAAACACAAATAATAAAGAAAGGCAAAGAGCCCAGCATTTATCTTGTTCCTCCTCCATAAACTATAGTTCAGAGGAACTGAATATTTGATGAGGGGAAGCTCTTTATAACATTTCTAACTAATAAATACAGAAGAAATGATGACTTGAATAAGGGATTGGGGCAAAGATTCTCAGTGGCTGCTGAAACCATTAGGTGAGAGGCCAATGAGGAATGCTTTAATGGGTAGATTAGGCTGGCACTGTCTGAACCCTGACCAACCTTAACATTACAAAGAGACAGAGTATCTTCTGCCTCAAGTTGTGATATAACAGGAAGTACAATGCATCACATATGAAGTACTCAAATAGAACCTAATTCTAATCAAGCCTGTAAATCTAACTATAAGTTTACAAGAAATATGGATGATAGCAAAATATATTACATGATACCATGAGAAAGCAAATCAGCCAAATCCAGAATATGGGACATTCCACAAGACAAATAATCTTTCAACAAATAACATTTTTTTTTTTAAGTGAGTGGAGGACATTACTTAAGATTAAAAGAATATCAGAGACATAAAAATCAAATGTGGAGTTTAGTGGGATCCAGATTGAAATAAACAAATTATACAAAGACTTAAGGTAATCAGGGAAATTTGCATGTACACTGGGTGTTAGATAACATGGTATGAGAATTAATTCTGTGTTAGAACTGTGGTTACATCTTCTGTTAAGTGTTTTAAACAGCTAGTGATGTATATTAAAGTAATGACAGGTAAAACAGTATGTCTGCTTTAAAAATATTCCAGGAAAAGAAGTAGACATAAGGTACTTCAAATAAGACTGGCAAAATGTTCATAGCAGAAGCTGGGTGATGGGGACACAAGACTTCATTATTCTATTTACTTCTGTGTCTGTTATTTGGAATTTGTTTCAAACTAACAAAAACAAAGGAGCAATGACATATAAAAGACACGAAGAAACCAGACTAAAGTTACCATCTGCATCACTGAAAGCAATCTAGAGTGTTTTCTGAAGTTACCTTCATTTACATATGCCCCTATAAACAGAAAAACAAAGAACCAAATTTTACAGAATTTAAAGTAAAAAAAAAAAAAAAGGAGAGAGTAGGGATTCAGTAATAATGCATTTCAATAAAACTAACTGTATCATCTCTGGCAAGCCACTCACTCAGTCTCTCAAGTCTGTTTACTTGTGTTAAAATAGGGTTAACTCCCACCTCACATTATGGAAAATTTAAATTAAATAAAATTAAAGTGCTCTTTTTTTTCATTCACTAATTCAAAAACTTTTCAGTAAATAGCTATCATGTATCATGTACATAATAAACATAAGATAGTTTTACTGTAAATGATTAAATATGGATTAAAATGAATAATCAAATTCCAGTTGAATCTAATTTAAACTTACCATAAAGGCTAAAAAAGTCACATGTTTTAAGAGAGGCTTCATAATTAGTAACAAGTTCCTGGATCACAGAAATCTGTTAAAGAAACATAGTTTTAAATTTTTTAAATATTTCATTAAAGGTATTTATATTTATTATAAATTAAATTAGATTTGGAAACAATATACAGATTATTTCAAAATTAAAAATTAACTAAGCTACTAAACTGTCTGCTTTTCCCCAGTTCCTATGTGGGGAAAAGTGAGAAAACACACACAAGACACACACACACACACACACACACACACGCACAAAACACACTGATCTCTTTATTAATAATAAAACATAATCTCATTAATTTCTCATCTCAATAAGTAGTTTCAGGTTTTGAAGGACAAACTATTATTAGTTATTGCAAAACCTTTATTCCCCCAATAAACACATCTGTATAATTTATTACTTAATTAATTTATTTGCTTTTTGTTTCTCACTGTTTTAATGTGAAGTTGTAGTTATATTCAAATTTTCTAAAATGTCACTCATCATAAAAAAGTCAAATAAAATTGATCCAAATTATACAGTGAGTTGATGGAAGAGGAGGTTAAGTAAACTAGATGTTTAAACTACCATTGTTTTTAGTGATCACTTTAATAAACAGATTTGAATTTCAATGCTACTCAGATAGAACAAGAATATTATAAACTGCACTATAAATGTGCTATGTCCTAAAAGTGCCAAATGAAAAGTTACATGAATTAGAAGTGGCAGTAGACATTAAATGTACCTATTGGTTTTAAATGCCTATTGATGTTAACTATTTAGAATAAGTTGGAAAGTAACCATCTTATTTGTGAACTCAAAAAAAATAAATAAATAAAGGTCAAAAGTGAAGGAATTTCCATAGCAACTATACCTTTTTACAACAAAGTTATGTGTGCACACTTTCTGTCTGACTTATATAGTATACTAGAGGCCCAATGCACGAAATTCGTACAAGAGTAGGCCTTCCTTCCCCTGGCTGCCGGCACCGGCTTGCCTCCAGCACCCTGGACCCGAGCTTCCCTCGCAGCCCTGGCTTTCTAATTAGCATATTACACTTTTATTATTATAGATATGGTTTGGGGATTGTAAAGTTTTGTGTAATGAAATCTGTTATAATGTCAAAAATAAAAGTGAAGGAAAACCATTAAAACTTTTAATAGTGTCTGACCAATGTGGTATTATTTTGATAATTCGAAAGTTTTCTAGTTTTATAAAGTGGGATGCTACTAATACCACCAGAAAGAAAGAATATACTAGGCAGGGTAACAATAATAATAATAAGCCATTAATTGTCACAAGTGCTTTACACATGCAAAGGAAAATTAAAATTAGCTGTAAGTACAAAATGGAAGAACCAGAATTTAACCCAAGCAACAAGGCTCCAGAGGTTAGCTTTTTAACTACTCTGCTATATTGGTCACCAATGTCCCCAGCACACTTATTAGTAAAGGGCAATTCTTGACTCACAGAGTTACAGTAAGACTAGAAACCAAAAACTCAAAATGGATTAAGAACCTAAATATAAGACCTACCACAACAAAACTCTTAGGGGGGGAAAACAAAAAAGCTTCCCAATATTGGATTTGGCAATGCTTTCTTGTATATGACACCAAAGGAATTGGTAACAAACAAAACAAAACAAAAATAGACAAATTAAATTTCATGAAATTTTTTAAATTTTGTGCATCAAGAGTCTCTACCCACAGAGTAAAAAGGCAACCCACAGAATGGGAGAAAATATTTGCAAATCATGTATTAATAAAAGATTACTGTCCAGAATATACAGAGAACTCATAAAAACAAAAAAACCAATCTGATTTAAAAAATGAGACAAGTACTTGAACAGACATTCTTCCAGAAATGACATATAAATAACCAATAAGCACATGAAAAGAGGCACACCAATAATCATTACAGAAATGCAAATAAAAACTACAATGAGATACAACTTCACACCCAGGAGGAATGGCTAAAACAAAACAAATAAAAACAACATGTTGAGGATGTAAAGATTATGGTACACTTTTGCACAGTTGGTAGGAATGTAAAATAGTATAATTGTTATGGAAAACATTATGGCAGTACCTCAAAAAAAATTAAAAACAGAATTACAAAATGACCCAGCAATTCTATTTCTGAGTATATTCATCCCAAAAATAAAAGCAGGGTCTAGAAGAGAATTATTCACAATAACCAAAACATGGAAGCAACCCAAGTATCTATCATTGAATGAATAGATAAGCAAAATATGGTATGTACATAACGTGGGATATTTTCAGCCTTAAAAAGGAAAGAAAGTTTGCAATATTCTAAACATGAATGAATCTTGAGGACATTATGCTAAGTGAAATAAGCCAGGCACTATATGATCCCACTTATATGAGCTACCTAACCCTATTCAAAATCATAAAGACAGAAAGCATAATAATGGTTGTCAGGGGCTGGGAGGAGGGGAAAATTGAAAGTTATTGTTTAATAGGTATTGAATGTCAATTCTACAAATGAAAAGAGATATAGGGATAAAGGATGATGATGATTACACAAAAATGTGAATGTACTCACTACCACTGAACTATACACTTAAATGGTTAATTGTAGAGAGTGCCTGGGAAGGCACACGAGCTGATTGTTGGCTGAATCCAGTGGCGTCAGCAAAACCACGTCCTGGAAACATACGGTGCCAGAGGCAGGTATGTTGTCAGCCTGACCCTTAGCTCAGGTGCCAGAAGGTGGGTTTCATTATCTATGTTCAGACTGGTGCAAGGAACGAACACATTATCTAAGTTCAGCCCGGTACAAGGAATGGACACAATTATCCGGGCTCAGTCAGGAGTGACAATTACAAAGAAGACACAAGAATGAAGAATTATAGCTTGATCTTTAACCATGATTTCACATAATTTCCTTTGTCTTAAACTCTAGTAAAACTACCTGCAACAGCTCTGGGTCACTGTCCCTCCATCAGAGGGCAGCTATCCCCCCTGGTCCCAGCTTTCCCTACTGTCTCTGTGTCTCTTTTTTTTCCTGTTCTCAATCCCCAGCCGCCCATACTCAGGATTCATCTGCTCTCTAGCCTTGCTGATGGCGGTAAAGAGACAAAACTTATAGTTAATTGTAAATTTTATGCTAAAATTTCACCACAATAATTTAAAAAATAAAAAACCTCATGGTTCTTAAAGTGTGGTTCTCAGATCGTTAATGTCATCAACATTAGCATCACCTGGTAATCTGTTAGAGATGCAAATTATTGGACCAAAACCCAGATTTACAACTCTGGGCCAAGCAGTAACCTGTTTTTAGGAAGCCCTCTAGTTCAGCGGTTCTCAACCTGTGGGTCGAGACCTCTTTGGGGGTCAAATGACCCTTTCACAGGTGTCGCCTAAGACCATCGGAAAACACATATATAATTACATATTGTTTTTGTGATTAATCACTATGCTTTAATTATGTTAAATTTCTAACAACGAAAATACATCCTGCATATCAGATATTTACATTACAATTCATAACAGTAGCAAAATTACAGTTATGAAGTAGCAACGAAAATAATTATATGGTTGGGGGAAACCACAACATGAGGAACTGTATTAAAGGGTCCCGGCATTAGGAAGGTTGAGAACCACTGCTCTAGTTAGTTCGAGTCACACTAGAATTTGAAATCTGATAAAAATATTTCAAAAAGATTTATGATAAAGCAAAATTAAAAGTAACAGACGTGTTTGCCCTGGTTAGTGTGGCTCAGTGGTAAGGGCATTGACCCACACACTGAAGAGTCTTGGTTGGGTTGTTTTTTTTAAAATAAATCTTTATTGTTCAGATTATTACAGTTGTTCCTCTTTTTTCCCCCCATAGCTCCCCTCCACCCAGTTCCCACCCCACCCTCTGCCCTTACTCCCCCCCACTGTCCTCATCCATAGGTGTAAGACTTTTGTCCAGTCTCTTCCCACACCACCCACCCCCCTTCCCCCCCCCCGAGAATTGTCAGTCCAC